TAAGCTGTTCCAAGTAAAGCTGCCTTTTGCAATTGACTGATGATGATTTTGTCAATGCCAACGGTGTTCAAGTGGTGCTCCACATGTTTTGGGATTACACCTAAGGCGCCTATTACTATTGGTACTATCTTTGCTTCCTTTTGCCACAGTCGTTCTATTTGCAGGTCTTTATATTTTGTGATTTTCTCCAGTTCCTTCTCTTCTCTTCTGCTGTCTCCAGGTATTGCAATGTACAGTATCCAGACTTTTTTGTCTTTCTTATCAACAATTGTTAAGTCTGGTGTGCTGTGTGGCAGGGGCTTGTCTATTTTAAATCTAAAGTCCCAGAGCACTTTAGCTCCTTCATTTTCTATTACTTTGTCTGTTTTGTGGTCCTACCAGTTGTTGTTGTTGTTGTTGTTGTTATCAATCTACCTCTACTGTATAGCTAAAGGACATTATGGAAGCCACTGATCCAAGTCTATGAAAAACCAACCCACAGGCATGTATTGGATTTATTCTGAGATCTCAAGTTGAATCCGAGAGCATTACATTGCCTTAAATAAAAATACTTAAAAGTACATGACTTTTAAACCAAAGGATTTTTTCAAATTATTCTGAATTTCATTTCAAATGTAAATTTATATTTATTAGCAATGGTCACAAACAACCTCAACTTTTGTGTCCAGACGTAACAATTTTCTTGATCCAAAATACTACTATGAGCAATATAAATTACTCTAATCTCTTAAATATAAAGTATCATATACTTACCAGTCCTTCTGTGAAACGTTTCTACTAAAAATTTCACCAGCGTGGTCTTTGTATGGTGGACATATGCATTTACATCGGACATCCTGAGAGTTCTGAAAGGGCAAAGTGAATTAAGAATGATTTTGTCAGAATAAGAAAAAATAAAGATGCAGGGAAACAGAGAAATAATTCTTAAGGACAGCTTTCCAGTGCTGATGGAACAAAAGCAGAATAGAAGGAGCCAAGAAATCTACTCAAAAGAAATGCCTACTGAACCAAAATTTTATTTTCCAGATAAATGTGTATTGGTCACTTAGCATAATTCAAATACCTTTGAATTAGTAGCATAACAGCAACCCAAAATGAAAGACAAAAGATCAATGACCACACCTCACTTTTAGATAATATCCAAGCTGGAAATATAGCTCAGAAATGCATTTGCAGGAGCCATCTACAATTCAGTTTATTCATAAGCCTGATTTACTCAGAGGACTGCATGGCAATTAAATCTTATTTACGAGTAAGATATTCAAGGTTTTAAGTGCCATTATCCCATTAATAAATAATTATATTAAACAGGATTAAAATGCAGTTCTACTTATTACATTATTGAACTTTAGTCATGGCTATGTGGAGAATATTAGCTAGGACAAACTTCAGCAAGACAACCTGAGTATTCATTACACTAAACTATGGTTTTAACCATGGCTTATGATGTACAAATCCAGCTCAAATATATTTGCAAACAGCAATTTCACAGAATTAAGAGCCTCAAAAAGAAGAAGGAACTTTCCAGATACCACCCAAACATTCTGGAACTGCAGAAGAAAAAGCCAGAATGTGAGGGAACATCTCTGTGTCCTGGCAACCAAGGAAAACAGGAAAGAATCAATGAGGTAACAAGGGATTTTGCAGTAGGAGGCACAATGTCATCCTTGCAAGGTAGCCCAGACAGGAAGCATGCCCAAATGAACTAATTCTACTTTATTGTAATGTTACATTAACAGAATCTTGCAAGCCTGAATGTATATTTCTCCCCAGTCGCCTTTACATCCCAAAAAATTAGGGAGGGTCCCTTCTGAGATGTTTGCCACACCCACATTCCTGTTACAAACTAAGCTGCCTCTAATCCAACTGTTCCCGTCTGCAGCTCTTCTCCCTGTCTCTCAAGGTCATTCCCACATACTATTATACACAACTACAAACATGGAGAACTTTGCAGGTGAAACTGGTAGACCTGGCAAGATGGAAGTTCCCCCTACCTGCTAAGAAATTCTATATGTTAGAAGAAACATTTTAATCCATCTTCAACATAAAACATTCCTCATAAGACAGTCCTTAAAAATGATCCAGATATTTCAACTAGCCCAGAAAGCACAGTGGTAAGCAGTGTTTTACAGAGTGCCATTTCACCCACGTGTTGAAACAGCAGCACTGTTACTTTCTGTGCCCAATTCAGGATATCCATATGGTATATACAGCCTTACATAGCTTAGGCCCAAATTATCTACATGATAATGTACTCTTGCACAGTCTACCTGTTGCATAGAGATGTCCAGCAAGGTACCTTTCGCATACCCCACACCATGGATATGCTTACCATTAACAGCTTACAGTACTTATTACTATGTTTCCATAGTAGACTTATGTTATGGAACAACTTGTTACTGAAGTGGAACTGGCCCCTTCCTTGATGTAATTTACTGTGGTGCTTAAAACTCTCTCTTTAACCAGATTTTTATTTTAGAGATTTTCATGCTGCTAGTTTTAATTATTTTAACTGTACTGAATTTGAAATTGAATTATAGAGATGTTAGAAACTATCTAGAATGGAGCATGCAGTAGACATATAATAACTAAAATTATATAATATTTAAGCATATACTGAAAAATGTCTGACTCAGATACTAAGTTGCTTTATGATTAGGTGCTTACAAACAGAATAAATAATAATAAATTAAAGTAACATCTAATCTAATTTCTACTTGCACTGTTCAGTTGTATCTCATCCAAAATAAATTCATTCATCATTGGATCACATTCAAGAAAAAACAAGTTAACTCTTCTATAGGAGGATAGATACAGATAAAAAATTATCATGCAACAGATTTACACAACTCAAGATTGGCCTTAATCTTGGCTCTACAGGAGTATATTTTATATTTATATATTTATATTTCATAGTTGGACACCACCCACCTCACGAGGAAGTATATACTGAACAAAGAGGAACAGAAACAGCAGTTCCAATTTAAAAGCATTTCAAGTTAATGAAAGCATCAAACGCTCATTTCTGGAAAGTCACAAGTGTAGCCAAATGTAGACTAGACAGCCACGTCAACTGTCAATACAATACAATACAATACAAAATTAAAAAATACTAACTGGAATGGATTGCTTTTCCAAACTGAGTTTGAATTACAGGTTTAGGCATCTTATTGCAACAAAAGGAAGTGACAAACACTTGGAGGGGAGGAGAATCAAAACAACTTGAAATCATAGACACAGGCCTCTTTCGAAGAACTATTACTTCTGCTATTGCTCTCAGTTCCCTGGCTCGGCTATGCCACGCTTAAGAAATACATGGAAATACTCTCAAAAGTAAGAGACCTTGCTTAAAAACGAGGAAGGGATACGACAGGAGGAAGGACGGAGACGAGACGGGGATGGCAGCATAAATGACCTGACGTGGACCCCGCTTTGCCCCAAAGCATCCAGGCGGTGGGGCGCCCTGCCCCCCA